TCTATTATATGTTGACTATCTAAACCTTTTTGCTATGAATGCAGACGAGGGCAATGAAGAGTAGAGCAGCGACAACAAAAAGCGAGACGAGGATGAAAAAAAGAGAGATGGAGACGGGAGGAGGGTGGATGATTCAGAGATGTCACAATTTCCTGAGAGAACAAGCAACGGAAGCGAAAAGAAACGCATCAGAGGGGGAGGTGCTTGCAACACACCCTCAAATGATAGACAACTTATGCAAAATAATAATTGAACGCAAGAAGGTAAGTAAACTCTGCCACCGTTATTCCCCATGTAGGAAGTCACTACTTTAGGTAAGTTGCTTATTGCCCTTCACCCATTTGTGGCCTAAATAAATAGATCAATGTACATAGATATGCACGTACGCCCCTTCGGCGATAGACGAATGTGTGGGCACTTCTATTATATCTTAGTTATCTAAACCTTTTTGTTATGGATGCAGACGAGGGCGATGAAGAGGAAAAGCGGAGCAGTGTCAACACAGAGTGAGACGTGGATGAAGAAGAGGGAGATGAAGACGGGAGAGGGGCAGATAAGACAGAGATGTCTGAAGACTGCTTGAAGGAAATTCTCGCGACACTCACGAGGCTGATGACGAGGACGGGAGGAGCAGCGATGGCACAGCGCAGGACGAGGGCGGTGACGGGCCAGACGAAGACGAGAGGGAACCCGAACGTGGCGGCGAGGGGGGCGCAGCCGACACGCCCCCGATCGACAGACAAGTAGTGAGGCACGACAACACAGTTCAAAACGGTAAACAAAATGTGTTGTAGTTGCTCCCTTTGCACAACGATTACGTGGTAACGGCGCAAAGTGATGATATTTCCTTAATGCGAGGATGTCGCTGTGATGAACGAACAGTTGAAACGGGCTGTCGAATTTCGCAGGTGCGACATGTTGAGTTCTTAATATTATTTTGTGCGTTGTAATCTGTGTTTTCCAGCAAATGGCACGAACCCGCAAAGAAAAGTGTGCGCGAGCAGGGGTGGACAACAACAAGCCAATCAAGAAAGCGGCGTATTCTCGAAGGAAATGAAGGACAAGCTGTTCCGGTCGGTCGAAAAGCCTTTGCGTTCTCAGAAGCAAAGGACGCAACTCTGTACCCGACAGAGAATGAATATTTCACGCCGGTGCAAACAACGGTCAAACTGATAGAAAAGAACGCGGAGGAAGGAGTGCGATCACACGTAGCGGAGTGCGGGATTCGAGCAAACATAGGGGAGTGCAACATAATAATGACAACTGTGCGTTGAGAGATAACATGGCGACTGAAACATTGGTTCTGGGCTGAAAAAGGGATTCCGTTTGTATGATTGTAGCAAACAGATTTCCAGCTTACTACTCGCAACAAGATGCGAGCAGAGATGAAGGAGAACAAAAGGTGGAGACGCAGCGGCGACGATCCTTGGGGTGCTCCAGCGTTCAAGACAACACTCACCAAGGTTTTCCAGATGAGGAGGGACGGCGTGAACCTTGGCGTGACCCTGCAACAACTGGCTTTTGCGGAGATGGTTCTGCAATGTGAAATGGAGTAGACAACAAAGACCAGCAGAGAGGCAGAGCAGCTAGAAAAATTGGTCTCTATAAAGCAGGACATCGCATTATCTCTCCACAATCGCGATACAGTCATGAGTTTTTCGATCTTCAAGGTGGACCGTGCCTTATCTGTTACTAAGAAGGCTGCTGCACTATTTCGAGTTGGCGTGCCCTCTGTCCACAGGAGTGGACCACAGAACATAACAATAACAGAAGGACGATTTCGACATGGAGTTCATTGCACCTCTGCGTGAGAGAAGCAGAGACGGGGAAAGGGATACAGAAAGTGTGTGCGCCAGACCTTAAACAGCGGGGGGCGGGGTGTCGGGAGGGGGAGGGGGAGGTGGTGAACACAATAGTGTGCATCAAAGGTTGATTATGGAATCTTTGAATCAGAAGGTTCATTATCCGAGGTCACAGTCATTGCATGCTACAGAGAGAGAGAGAGAGAGACAGAGACAGAGAGATAGAGGATATATATATATATATATATATATATATATAGAGAGAGAGAGAGAGAGAGAGAGAGAGAGAGAGAGAGACGGGGAGATGAAGACATTGAACTGTGTGCTTCAAACAGTCACTTAACAACACATGGTCYGTTATTTATGACACACAATTGTACAATCCCTTCTAATGGTCATCTTTGTACGATTGGTCATAGAGCGACTATGTTATGAAAAAAACAGCAACTGTGGTTGTCCTCAATGCAAGGTTGGGTGGTGCGTGCCACTATCTCTCTCATGCTCACATTTTGCTAAAATTTTGTCACGCAGTGGTGAACCGTGTTTGTTGCAGGGCAGCTCACAATTTAACTGAGGCTTCCACACGTGTCGCCACATGTAGAATAAAGCACAACAATCCTACAGACTCGAAAAAGACGATTGGCTATATCACTCTCTCTCAAACACAGCCATGTTGGTAATTTTTTGGCCCGCAGTAGTGAACCGAGCTTGTAGCCTGGTAGCTCATCATGTAATCAAGGCTCCCTCACGTGTCCATCAACAGAATGAAATCCCGCCATTCGGCACCAACAGAAAACAGCGGTTGGCTACTGCGTGACACTTTCTCTCTCGCACTGCCATATTGGTGATTTTGTGTCACGCAGTAGTGAACCCTGCTTGCATCTCTCTCTCTCTCTCTCTCTCTCTCTCTCTCTCTCTCTCTCTCTCTCTCTCTCTCTCTC